CCCCCCCCCCCCCCCCCAGGTTACTTCCTGCGGCCCTCCCCGCGCCCCCCACCGCCACAGCTCACCTCCGCTCAGGGCCGGCTCCTGGCTTTTTGCGCCCCAAGAAAAAAAAAAAAAAAAGAGCCGGAATGCCGCCCCTTGGAAAGTGCCGCCCCAAGCACATGCTTGGAGCGCTGGTGCCTAGAGCCGGCCCTGATTCCAATGTGTGTATCTCTCTCAAGTGAGCTTCTACTCCCTTCCCCATGCACAAAGAAGTTCAGAACTATATGGGGCCATATTTTATACCCAGCACACAATTCTATTTTTAAGAAAACCTAAGGAGGGGCTTGCAATGGAGTGCAACAGTCAGGGGGCATGGCCAATAATTCTTCCAGCGTCTAAGGATCCAAGGGAAAAACAGGGCTGGATCCCAAGGATTGTGCTCATCCATGTTCCCCCCTCACAACGGGTCATCCCAGAGCACCAGGTAAACAGCAAAATGCTCTGCAAGGAGCTGTGCCCCCAATTCCTCTCCAGGGAGCAGTAACATGTGATGCAAATTGCACCTTATGACCTGCGGATCTAAGAGGGGGAAATACAGCATAAAGGATGTGTTGCGCAACTCCTGCATCTCCTCCTGGTGCACATACTGAGTCCATGGAGAGCTACAGATAGACTGATTGGGGAAAGGAGGCACATTATCTTACCCTTTTCCAAACCCTTATGGCCCTTCTGCCAATTCCGGGCAGTAGTTGTAGTCATTTTAATCAAGTGAGGTGTTTGGTTATAGACAGGGTCTGCCCCCAGCAGGCTGAGAACAGAACAGCACTGATAGTGGATTACAAGGTAGCCTCTGACCTCCTTCGCAGTTGTCCCTTAGTGGGAGGGGAATGAGAAGACAGAGAAGGAGAAAGGGGCTCTTGGGATGAAGAAAGGAGTGAAGACAACATTGAATTCCTCACTGCTGGGAAGAAAGGAAAAACGATGACGACTCCCCCCAACTCCTACACACCAATCACCCAGAAAAATTATGCAGAGGAGATCATGGTTTCCTAATATAGCAAATGGGCTTTTCTTTCCCCACTAGCTGGACTGGAGGTGGGAGTGGTGAGAGAGGCTGGGGGAATGGGAATCAACACAAAGTGTTCTTGTGGTGGGTTGTTCTGCCAGTCGCCAGCCCTGGGGGAAGCAGGTGCTGCTGGGCGAGGGCTCTGACAACACTGAAGTGAGTTGGATTTTTAGACAATGTGGGCTCACCTGCTCTCTTTGGATACCTCCGAGGTTACAATTTTATTGAAATGTGTACCACTTACGTTCCATTCAAATCCTCCAGTGGCAATTCCTGCAGCCGCTCCTGTGCCTGCCAAGCCCACAAAGTGCCCACTGCCAATGTTACTGGCAAACAGAGAAGCACCAATCTGGAAACAGAGAGAAGAACAGACTTGGGTCATCGATCCTGGGCTCAGGACAAATATCTTAAAAACCAGTGCTTATTTAGTGTTTTCAGACTTCCTGTGTGTCATCACTTAGGGATCTGAGTGCCTGACAACCTTGAAGATCCCCCAATATTTTCTCCTCTTAAAACCCAACATTGCAGCCATCATCCCTACAAGCAAGGAGGACATAACAGGATGTTTCATATTAACTCAGCCAGAGGGAAAACTGGTGAATGGTAATACTCCCTCCTCCACTGGAGGTGAGCACGTGGCCTCCACTCATACAGAATTATGACTCTTTGGAGAACTTGTCCAACTAACACATGGGTGATGTATGGCCCTGGCAGCTAGGGCAAAAGACTGATGTGATATGTCTAAGCTGCTCCAAGGACAAGTGGCTGATACCGCCAGGAAAATCAGATACAGCTCTTTGGACTTAAGATCCAAAAGCCATTAAGGCCGGCTTGTCTCTCCAGTGGGAAACACCCTTTTTACACTTGGTTTGCTTTCGTCAAGGGGGCAATAGGTTAACTGAATTAGATTCTGGCAGCTGCTATCATAGGTATAGCACTACACCCAAGGGCATCTGTAGTACATGCGAGTGACAGCTGATCATGGATTTGCAAATGAGGAATGTTGATATCTAAGACCTGTAAACATTTTGTATCGATCCCACAGAGAGAGCAACTGCTGATTGGAGAGATGCCAAAGAAAGAGAAAGAAGTTAGCGCTGTATTAAAAATAGACAGTGATTCACAGGAGGGAGATCATACCTAAAAAGTCTCATTCTTCATCAAACAACTCAAAGAGACAATGGGAGAAGATGGAGAGAGAAGCTGTGAACATCGTTTCCCTGTACTGAGAGTTTTGGAGGCAGCAAAACACAGCAAACCATGATTTACAAGGTCAGGAACTGAAGTATTAGGGGTCAGATGCTTGAATAAGAGGGGGAAAAGCCTGGCTTGGATATTGCAAGCAGAGGGTACACACAGGGCCAGCTCCAGGCACCAGAGGAAAAAGCACGTGCCTGGGGCGGCACATTGTAAGAGGTGGCATTCCGGCCAATCTCGGGGCGGCACATTTCGGCCGCCCTGCCATATTTTGTTTTTGTTTTTGTTTTTGTTTTTTTTGCTTTGGCAGCCCAGTCTGCAGCTCTGCCACTCCCAGCCCAGCCCTGCAGGGGCACGGACTCCAGCTCGGGTGGGCAGGAACTAGCGATCCCTGCCGCTCACCGTGCCACCGGGCTCCCCGGGACGCGCCACTCCCCGCCGCCTGCACCAGCCTCCGCCTCCCGTGCCGCTCTAAGCCCAGCCCAGCCCAGCCGCCTTTAAAGGAGCGGCTGAGCCAGCACCTCCTGCAGTCCCCGGGAGAGGCACCCCAAGGCTGGAGGAGGGAGCCCCTCTCACCCGGCTGCGAGCGGGCTGCAGCGCCTGGCTGCCCACGGGCGGAGGGAGCGGGCAGGCGCCGCCCTTCACCCCCCTGCAAGCCGCCTTGACCGCCCTCCACACGCTCCCTGCTGCTGCCGTTTTGGGGGGGGTTTTTGCGCTTCGGCAGTCCGGCTGCCCTTCTTGGGGCGGCAAAAAAGCTAGAGCAGGCCCTGGGTACACATGAGCTGCAGTGATTAGAAATGAAAAAAAGACGGTCAGTGAAGTGTTTTTCCCCACTCCTATTTGTTCAAGATCTAGGAGAGACACAGAGAGAAAAGAAACTGTAAAAAGAGGAAATAAAGAAAGAACAGTGTATAAGGGAGGGGGTCTGAGTACTGACCAGTTGCTACTGCCCTTTGATAATTAAATATAATAATCACCTCTCATATCTAATATAGACCGTTCATGTTAAAGGATCCCAAAGGGCTTTACAATGCATATATAGAGTTCCTGTGATTAACATACTTTCCTCATCCACTATACAGTCAGTTGGAGTAAGTTTACATATCTATTGTAACAGGGAGAGAGACTCAGTGTCTGCCACTGAAAGAAAGGTTGTAGGGTCCTGGGGGTCTGAAAGGTAGGGGAGGCAAAAATCCCCCAAATCCCTAATCACTGCAGTCAGCTCTGCAGTGTCACAACAAAAAAATAACTCAATCTTCCGTCTTCAATCTTAACTTAACTTCAATCTTCTTTTTTGAAGCTCATGTGGATCGCAGGGGGGATTTTAATATAGAAATTAGCTACTGAAAACGAGGCTTATAGTAGTGAGGATATGTCAAAGCCAGGAATACCATCTACCGCTCCTGACTGCCAGTCCTGTGCTCTAACCACTAGATAATTCTTCCTGCCACATTTTATATGCAAGATATGCCAGGCATGCAACAAAACGGAACAGAGAATTCCATAACTTCTTTCCCCATCTCTATTTTCCCCTAATTTCTTCATAGTGATCTCATGTTTTCTTCCAGTCTTTGTGTGAAGGAACAGCTCTCTCAGAACTACAGGGAATTTCTGCGTTTGTTCAATCCTGGATTTCCTCACATTTTTCCAGTCTTGCCATCAAGAAACTTATCCTCTTTGTGACATCATAAGTGTTTCCATAGTAATAATTTGTGATATAACAAAACACTAGTGGCATCAGTGAATGAGTCAAAGAGGAAGAGCAGGCTAATTATAAAGATGAAAGCTCCTTCATGTGGCCAAGATTATAACAGGGTTCAAAAAAGAACTAGATAAGTTAATGGAGGACAGGTCCATCAATGGCTATTAGCCAAGATGAGCAGGGATGGTGCCCCTAGCCTCTGATTGCCAGAAGCAGGGAATGGGCGACAGGGGATGGATCACTTGATGATTACCTGTTCTGTTCATTCCCTCTGGGGCACCTGGCATTGGCCACTGTCAGAAGACAGGATACTGGGCTAGATGGACCTTTGGTCTGGCCCAGTATGGCCGTTCTTATGTTATGTTCTTAAAGAAAAGGGATTCATTGTCCCCACGTACATTCAATCCTGGACTTCCCCTGTGCTTTCCCATCAGGGCCCCAGAGTGGGAATTAAGCTTTTATCTTCCTTCGGACCTGTGAAAACATCTAAGAATAACAGCTCAGCAATGACATTACATGCCAAGTTCTGAGATACTCAGATCATCTACAACTCTCACTGATGTCAATGTGAATTGTGGATGCCCAGTACCTCTCAGGATTTGGCCAATAGGCCTGATCATGTTTCCATTGAAGTCAGTTGCCACTGCCTTTAATGGGAAAGAAGCAGTCTCTAAAAGAGAGAACAATGTTAATGTCTTTTAAAAAGAGAAGTAGGCAGGCTTTTTCCCTCAAAGAGAGATTTTAGCTGCACCACCAGCAACTGGAACTCATTGCTGAGAAGGCTGGCTTCTGGGCAAATATGAATGTTTTTTATCAAAACTTTATCTATTTGGGGAAAATTCTACATCTTGACCTTTACCTCATCATCAGCTGTTGTTCACTCAATCCCCTGCAAATAAATTATTAAACCTCATTCTGAGTTATTAGGAATGCAGTCATCAGAAATGATTAACCACATTATCTTCTGATTCTCATTAAATCTGTTCTTTCCACCCTAGCTCTTGCTTTAAAAGCTCAAAATAGCCTTTTTAACAGTCACACTGCACTTTCAACAGCTTCAGGTGACAAAAGCAGCCAATGAAGAGCCCAAAATGACAGCTCCAGCTAGCGTGCCTGGAGTGCCCCTAAATGTGGGGCACATTGGAGCACTCACCCTCACAGGAACATTTCCAGCTTTACCCAAGCAGTTCTGTATTTTCTTTGTTGATTTTTAAAGAAAAATACAAAGCCAAACAAAAACCAATGCAATTAGCAAAAGATTTCAGTTAACACAACAGTCATTATTCCTGGTTTCAGAACAAAGCAATGCAAATATTACAAATCTATTGCTTTGTATTTCTGTTTCTCTCTCTGATATAGGAAAGACCCTTTGCTGGAGGAAAATGTAATTACGTGTATGTGTATATATATATATATAGGGACACATCTTTGAATTCAGAACTGTGAAAATAGATTTCCATTGTTTGCTCCAATACTTTTGTAATTTGTAGCAAGAAAAAGTTATGTGATTGAGGTTAGCTGATGGTTGGCAGCATCTATGGCAGTTACTATGATTAAGCGTACATTTATGTCACGGAAGTCACGGAATCCATGACTTCCAGAGACCTCCCTGACATTTTCTGCTTCAGCTCCTGGAGCCCTGTGGGACCCCCGCAGGGTTCCAGCGAGGGGCGACAGCTTCTGCAAGGTCCCCCTGCAGGATTCCAGCGACAGGCAACAGCCTCCCCAAGGGGCCCTCCTCAGGGTTCCAGCGACAGACGATAGCCTCGCACGCGCGGGGGGACCCCACAGCTCCCAGCCACCATAGTGGCAGGAGAAACCATGGAACTGCAGCAGCAAAAGTCACAGACAGGTCACAGCTTCCGTGAATTTTTGTTTATTGCCCATGATCTGTCTGTGACTTGTACTAAAAATAACCATGACAAAAATCTTAGCCTTAACTATGATTAGCTAAACTAGAACATCTACGTAAAGCAGGTGTCTAAGAGATTCCACTTAATATTTAGAGCTGGGATCTTCAAAGGAGCTTAATTCCCTTAGGCTACTTGTGCTTGTTCAATTCCAGCCTTGTTCTAGAAACATCATAAACATCATGATCTGTACAAGGAAGGAAAACTGAGACTTAAACTTTGGATTGTCCGCAACAGGGCTGGATACTGAATCTGATCAGTCAGAGTAGGTGAGTATTGTAATATAACCCTGCATTAGCTAAAGGATTCTGACCTATTTTCCAAGCTACTCTATGTTACCATACAGTTGTTCCTTCACAACAGGGCCAGCATTACAATTTTCCGGAATCTGGCCATTAATCACCTCCCCTTATTTCAGAGGTATGATGAGTTAGACGGGGTGTGGTTTTTTCTTTTCTCCTCTGGACTGATCTGAGAGATACAGAGCTTGCACAGGCTGCGAGGCCCTGAGGATACACTTGCTCAGCCCGTTTCCCGGCT